AGATATTTGATTGAATTAGATTTATTTCAATGTTCAATGTTGTTTGATCTTGAAACCTCATCAAGAGTTGTGGGTTGTATGTCACAACAATTCGATTATCCAACTCGATATTCTTTTTCATTATATTGTGGTGACCTCTAAGGTTCTTCTTTTGTATATCAGGTAGTTATTCCCATCAAACGATGTCTTATCAATAAATTTTTTGGGAAAATGTTTCATAAATTTATCATTCTCCATATATAGATATCTATGATCATTTATGCTACATGGATCATGCATCAATAATCGAGTTACGAACTCATAAAATCTAGGATATTTATCTTTTATTATGAACCTCTACACATGTCACACGATCAATTGACTCAAGCGATTGAAGGTTATCCCTCTAGTGTAACCATATTAAGACATGTGCATGAAGCAAGCTTCTCATTTGAAATTCAAAAGAGTACAAACATGCACAAAATCATTACATTCAAATGACAACATTTTAAATTGAATCTCCATTTAAATTGTTTTTTATTATACAATATCAAATATTTAAACAACTTAATTTTTTTTATGTTATATACCATTTAAATTTCACACACACACATACAAACACACACACACACATAAAATCTAGGTTTACTAAATTATTACAAATATATAATTCTTTTCACCCCCTGAATTCAAAAAATATACGACAAAAACATTGGTGATTTTATTATTCTTCTCCCCTGCATTTATTTAACAAACTTAGATTTCCGATCTTGTAATTTTAATATTAAAAAATCATGATTCTTCTCTGACAGATTAATTTACATTAACGGAAATATATGATTTTAATTTCTATGATGCATTAATGTGATTCTTTCTCTCCTTGGCCCTTTGCACTAATTAAAAATTGACTCTTTTTTCTTGAATTATTAAAAGTGTGAAAACATAAATTAACAATCATATGATAAGAAATATAAATTTTACAATACATTAAAAATATAATGATTATTCTCCCTCGTATTATTTCAAAAATTATGTGAATGCAAAAAAAATTAGTGATTCTATGATTTTAATGAAATTTTACAAAAACTATTTCACAATTTTTATTCATTTTTTTCTTTCTTTTTTAAATATTCAATCATTTAAGTGTGTGAAAATATTTTGGTCAATACATAATGTTTTAAAAATACAAAGACTTACAATTTAAAAATTATATTTCTCTTTGATGTTGTAGTTTAACCTAAATCTTATTCACTTCTGGACATAAGATATTTTTCGTACTTCTCCTTAAAATACTGATTATTCTTGCATCTAAATTTTAATTGTCACAGATCTTCACGCGTTTCTCGACGTCCAAATCTTAATTTCCCTTATAGAAATATTTTTGTGAAAATCCATGTTATATCGCTTCATCTCTAAGAATATCATTTTTTTTAAATTTCTTTGTATGATTGCGAAAATGAAGAAAAGAGAATCGAGCCATACTTCATCCATCTTTTTTATTTTCATGCATCAATATAGTGAAATATCACCTAATATAAATTTATAAATCTTAAGTTACATCTTAAATATGGTAAGTTACAGTGCAAACCTTCTTTGATTAAAATAATAGGTCAAATTAGAAAGATAAAGTACAAAAGTCAAATTAAATAATCCTGCTAAGTAATACTCCGTATGGTTTAAACACTTAATATATATAATTTTAATATAGGGATTAAGAAGTATTTGTTATTTTACATCACTATTTAAATAAATGGAATAAAGCTAACTTCTCTTAATCATAACATAAAGAAATATGAAATTTTTTTAAAGATAAAGAGAGTAGTTTATATATTCATCGAAACTATTATTATAAATGAAATGAAAAAAAATTAAAAGAAATAAATATCTCTCTTTCTTAATTAAATGTACTCAATGATAATAAAATCATAAATAATGTTAGTGTAATATAATAAGTCCCAACGATATATTTTGTTTTAATCATTTGTCTTTTATAATATAATAAAAATAGGTTTAAATATGTTTTTATACCCTATAAAATAATAAATTTTTTCGTCTCAGTAAAATATTTTTTGATAAAGTCATTTCTACAAAATATTTTAATTTGAAAATAGTCCTTAACCTAATTAGAACTTCTAATTAGATGAGATAGTACATTTATATCATACTCAACATATTAGTCATGTATTTCTAATTACATCTGATGCTATTTCTAAACCCTAAATTGTGTACTTATTCATATTACATATATTTGGTTCTCAAATTTCTTACGAAT